CAAATTTTGCAATGTTTCTACAATTTCGAATGGGAATTGGGGTCACCAACAGAAGACCCGATGGGGCATGTCTAAGCCACAAATTATTTGCAAATCAAGCTTTAATTAACCAACTCTGAGTTGACAGATTAGCATAGTATTTCACTTACCCAATCTCTCTCTCCCCCGTATGTCTTTCTCTCTGTTCTATTCTCTGGTCAAGAGTGCAGTAGTATATGACAGTTCAGTGTTCAGGAAGACGAATGTCTCTAACAAAACAAGTGACATGAAAACTGTGTCAATACTTGAGGGTTCGAAAAACGTTTTACCTTGCTACAGGCAAAGGCAAACCGAAACCGGACAGGCTAGAAAGGTGAAAAAGTGACGGAACAGAACCGAACAGAACTCTGACTAATTGGATTGTCTGTGCGTGCCTGGGGCTCTGCCTTCCAGCAAATAATAGAAAAAGTGTTTGCATTAAAATCAAACAATTGCAGTGAAAAATCGAACGTGAACGTGTGCTGAACGATTGCGCCGGCAAACAAAAATTTGTATATTTTTTGTGAGAATTTTGTGACAGAAACTCAACATTTTCGCTTATTTTTGTGACGTTTTTATACCCGTTAGGAGTAAAGGGGTATATTATATTTTTTGTAAAAGTGGATGTGTGCAACGCAGAGAAGGAAACGTTTCCGACCTCGTAAAGTATATATATTCGTGATCAGCATCAATAGCCGAGTCGATATAGCCGTATCTGTCTGTCCGTCCGTCTCGATGAGCGCCTAAATCTCAGTGACTATAAGAGCTAGAGCAACCAAATATTGTTTCCAGACTCATTTGATATCACTAAAAGCCACAAATTACAAAAATGTGTGGTAGCTACAATTTTAAAGATACGAGAAAACTACTCAGTATCGTAGATAATAACCATATCTACCAGATTGTCGAATCTGAATCAGATCGCATCATTATTATAGCCAGAATAAAGAAATGAATTTTCAGTTGCTACCCTTGCAGCTACTCTTTCTCGCTCGCACACACTTAGTGTGTGGCGCGCCCTCTGGCGGAAGAAGTGTAGAATATACATTGTCGATAGTTACAAATACTTTTTGTAGCATCTCTTAGGCGCATATGGAAGTGCCAGCACATCCGATAAAATCATTGCATACTTTTAGGGTAAATGTATATAATATTTATATAAATACAAATATTATTTTTTGTTTAAATTTATTTTGGTAGGGAAAAAAAAGAATATTTATACAGTTGAGGATTATATTTGTTGACAGAAAAAGAAAAAAAGCGAAAAAAAGTTACTTTCTATTCGACCGTGACAGGACTCGAACCTGCAATCTTCGGATCCGAAGTCCGACGCCTTATCCATTAGGCCACACGGTCGCTTGTGTATTGTCGTTTTAAACGTGAATAAGTAGACGCGCAGAGACGACGACTCTCATGCTTTAGGGTTTGTTTCTGTTCCATGCAGTAGCACGGTTCTCGCCCTCCTCTCCCCCCTTGGAATACAACGCGTATTAAAGCGACATAATCACGAGCAAAAGCAAACAAAAATCGAATAAAAAAACGAAACGAATATGAAACCCATCCCACGACGACGTAGTTTCAAGACGAAACAACCCAAATCGAATGTGTACAATCCCCTGGTGCGCTACCGTCCGACGGCCTATGTGCGGAATGGCATTATTGGCGGGGGCGAGGGTCCCGGCTCCAGTGGCATCTACCAGATCGACGACCGGGTGTACACCACCAATAAAATGTTCCTGCGCGATGGCTACATGTATCCCCGCCAGCCCGGCCAGCCCATGGATCCGCGTTATCCGATGGAATTGCATGAATTCCCGCAGCATTTCGGCGCCACTGGCCTGCAGCTGGTCAGCACGCCAAAGGTGCACATAGCCGGCGAGTATTTGGAGGAGCAGCATCAACAGCAACATCAACAACAGCAGCAGGTGCAACTGCAGCAGGAGCAGGAGCGACAGGGACGCAAAGCCGTCGCCGCTGCCGAAATTAATCTGGCCAATCAGGTCTACTGGCTGGGCAAGCAAAAGAGCCGCTCCCGTTCCCGCAGCAACAGTGCGGGCAACAAGAGCATGGCCAGCTGCATGGGTGGTGGTGGGGGCGGCGGCGAAAGGGATCGAGATAGACCCTACATACGCAATGTAGATGATCTATTGAAAGCAATGGGAAAGCGGGAGGCGAATGCTGAAACTGCATCCACTGCATCGCAGCGACGACGCTTCAAAAAGGTAGGCATACCAATCGTAAAAACAAAATTTTCGAACATTTAAATTGTGCAATCAATCATCGCCATGGATTGCATTTGTCAACCCATGATTGCAACATTTTCAATTGTCAGTGGTGTGGCATGTCGTGGCACCTTATGACCACCTTAATTACATTTACATTTGTGGCCGTGTTGCTGCTGCCTCGTTCCGCCAGGCCATCCGTCATCACTCGCCATCATCCAATCTGCCAGCCGCCTCTGCAGTGGACAGAACTGAGGCACTGAAGCCTGGCCAGACATCATTTGGGTTGTGGCGGCCCCTGGGGTGCGTCTGCGCAAAAATTAAAATTAATGATGTTCCGAAATTTGCCTCGGGCCTAAAGGGGAAATGGTAGGAGTTTGTTGGTCTTTAAAGTGCAGAAAAGAAGGTAGAGGCAGGGTCCAGACAGTAGCTGCTAATTTGCCATCCCCAAAACAAAAAACACACCTGCCCCATAAAAAGATATTCACTCTACTTTTGGGACTCCTCCGCTCCATTCCGCTCCATTCCGCTCCACTCTTTCTTTTTGATTCTTTTTCAATTTCTGAAGCCTGCTCTTTGCTGTGGTTTCTTTAACCCTTTGCACCCCGCCCCTGTGTCCTTTTATGCATTTTTTAAGCTGGTACTGTTCAAGCTTCCATGACGTTTTGGTTTTTGTTTTCTTTTATTTTAGATTTTATTTTAAACTTATTTTGATTTTTTTGCTGTGGTGTCTTCTTCGTCATTAGTGGATGTATTTTTTGTGGTTTATTTTTCTGGCTTAATTCCTCTTTCGCTTGGGGCACAATTTATGCGCTTCTGTTTCGGATTCCTATTCTCGGACTCGGACTACTCTGAGGAGCACTTGAGTTTGAGAAATTGGTTTCGTTGATTGTGCTTTTGGGGCAGAAGCAGAACAGTGGTTAGAAAATGATGATAAATGATGCTATATTTTTGATTTTTGGAGAGAAATGTGGAAAAGTTTACAGAAATTTTAGGTAACAGAATGATTATAAATACAATAGTAGAGAAAGAAAGGTATTTTTAAATTGAATTTTCTTTTATTTGAATGAGATTCCTATACCTTGTTAAAGAATTTTATTTATGGGTGTTGATCTTTTACAATGTTTCGAAGATGATTTTATTTAATCTGTCGTACTCACAGATATCCCATAATCCCATTTCCCATTTTATTATCTCTTGCACTGACTATCCAAGGGTCTTTTAATCTTAACACAGTTTCAAATGCCTCTCCAACCACTGTATAATCTGCTACTCCCAGCCATGACTCAACTTCCGGCTGTGTGTAAAATTCCATTTAGAGTTTCGCATCAACTCAAATGAAATGAAATAAATTGGAAATGGAAGTGGAAGCCCAACGAAATGTGCATAAATTTATGCACTACAAATTGAAGCTCTAGCTTCAAAAGAGTTAAGGAATTTAAGCCAAATCGGGGGAAGGGATTTCCCCATATGCAAACGCAAAATAAAAACCAAAAGCACAAGCAATTGTAATGCAGCTCAAGTCGTTTCTGGTTGGGGAATTCCCCTCATTTTTGCTGCAGTTACTCGTAAATTTAATAAAGCCTTCCCTTCATCCCCATCTTTGGCTGACATTGGCATGTGTTGTTGCATTTTCTTGAGGGTCTCCATCCCCCGTCTTCTCCTTCGAAGAAAGTTGTGCCCAGTAACTTGTTAACAAAATTTCACAGATGGTCTTTTTGTTGGTTTTTTGTGGTTTTACATTTTTTGTGTGTTCAAGGCAGTCACGTGCCAAGATACAATATTTTTGTGCAGTTGCGGCAACTGATTGAAAATGCATGGCGGGCTGTGAGCTCCAATCAAGCAGGATTGAGGGAATGAGGGAGCAAGGAGCTTGGTTGCGGTTTTTGGTGCTAATTAAGATGTGAAGTTTTCAAGAAATTTGAACGCTACAAATATTATAATTACAGGAAATTAATGAAGTTTGTAGGAATTGGATGTGAAGAAAACTTAGCAAAATTTAGTGCAGCTCAAAATGATTTTTTCAATGATATCACAAGCTCAAAGTCTTATAAATACGAAAATTTATTTATAGTTTAATAATAAATATTTCTTGTTATATCTTGTTATATATCTTTACACATTTACGGTGGGTCATAAACCCACAAATTCCGTATTATTCGCCTTAAGCTATCAATCTGACACAATCTCTGTGGATAATCTGCCTGCCAACTCCACCGCCGAATCATAATCAAACGGGAATGTCTAAATATATTTGAGCAAAAATTTCGCCCCTCCGGAGACTTGTGCACACTTGGTGTACAAATCAAATTACCAACTGCAGCTAGACAAACCCCAGCATAACCCTCCAGGCCCTCCTCCCCTTCGACAAAAAATACGTGTGTATATATATTATATATATATATTTTAAATGACCAACAGCAATTTTCATATATGTATGTACATATGTACATATTGCAAATTATAGGAGCATATGCACTCAAAAGATCATTGCTCTTGCATTATTATTATTCGAAATTAAGCTGTTCAGAGAGTCAAACGACAGGTTCGCTGCAATTTGTTTTTTCATTCTGGCTATAATAATGATCTGATTGCAATCTGTTCAAATCTTGCGAAGATCAATGTGTTATTTTATACTAAACATATATTAAAATTTTTCGCATTATAGATTTTAATTGCTTTAATGGTTTCCGTTAAACACTGATTTTATATAAATGACAGTAATATCATATCCGATCTTCTGCACATTCCATTTTTGGTTTAACTTCTGTTTATTAGATCCTCTTCGAACACAAAACTCACATTTGTATCGAATTGGAGCTTCTTATCGAAATGCCACCGAAACGATATCATGTAATTCCCCGTCGGAAAGGGCAGACGCAACAGCTCAGGCTTCAGATAGAAATCCTTGACAATTTGTGGACCCTGTTAAAGAAGTACTCGTATTTAAACATTAAAACAAAAAATTATTTTTGTATCTTACTACGAAGGGGCACGTGTGGTTTATGTTTGTAAACTCTTTAAATAGCCCATAGACCAAATTGGCAATGGGTGGAGATCGCTTTCGCAAAAACCGACAGGCATCAAAGCGAATGTCGAATAAAAAGGGCTTGTATCCATTTGCCCTTTTGAGCACCTGCATATGAACAGTTACATCGGTAGCAGGATGTAGCACCGTCCCATTCATATTGCAGATAACTTTGTTCCGACTGACGGCCTTTAGACGACAGTTGTGGAACACAAACCAGGAATTATTGTAGCTTTTGCAGACGAAATTCGTAAACTTGAAGATGACGGCATCCTGAAATGTTCACACATATTTTGTATAACTTTTCACATAAGGACTCCTCAATAGTTACATTTAAGCCAAAGTTGAATGCTATCCATACTCCGAAGAGCAAACAGATGAATGGATTAACCCGCATAGGATCGTTTCTGTATAACCAACTGTTCAGTAATCTGTGCAAAAACCAACTGATATTCGAAATTATTGTGCATCTACACATATCAGATTAAATTATTCGCTTGATTATACATGCATACGTAGGCCGCTATTTAAACACAACTTAGGCGTCTGAAAATGGGGTTATTATTTTGAACAAAATTATCCAGGAGTAGAGAAACTTTTTGGAATTTTGAACCTATTTTCACAACACTTTGGGCACTCAGCAAAAGTATCTATAAAACAGGCCTTAATCACCGATTTTTTGCTTAAAAACATCCATACCGTCGATTATTGCTGATTTTGTTTCGATTTAATATTTATATATTCGTGATGTGTGAAACACATCTTTTAAATGTTGTGGGTTTTCCCGCTAACACATCTTTTTTTACCAGGTGGTGATCATGAAAAATCTAATTAATGGTCGTCATACTAATTCCCAAGGATACCTCAATATCGCAGTATGTGACATGACGATCTTGCTCAATCATTTCGCGCACAGCATCGATATTTTGTGGCACAAACATACATTTTAAGCTACTTTCACGAAATTCGTCCTGCAACGAAGGACGTCTACGGTTGAATGCGCGATACCAGTTTTTTACATTGGCAGTGCATGGTGCTTCATCAATAAAAGTTTAACTAAGCTGATCTAAGCATTCTTGGCTTAAAAATCCACCTCCAATATGGGAGAAAATCTTGATAAAGACATCTTCATGTGTAAATTAAAATTTTTGCCTGAGATGAATTTTTGATTTATCGTTAATCGATATCAAACGATATCAAATATCAAATATGGAAAAGTTGTATGTACATATGTTTAATTAATAAAACTCCAAACTTTTTTATACAACTGACCATTTGGTCCTAGTACGACTAAAAGTGACTTAGGGCAGAAACACAAATAGCACCCCTCGTATTTGAAGAAATTGCCATTAAATTTTTATCTTTTTGCAATTTTCCGCATAAAGAGTACATGAAGCAAAAATATACATATATTAAATACAATACAATGTTCATATGTACATATGTGCAAGAGAGTATTATAATTAGACGACTGTCAAGCGTTTCGTTGGAGAGCAATTAATATGGAATAGATCAAAAAAATTATATTTAGAGAGAAATAAAAAAAAAACAAGAAAAACAATTTAATTTGATTGAATTTTGGGAAAATAAACTACAAACAGCTCAACTGTGGCTATAGTTGTAGGTTATCTATGAGAAATGATCAGAGAGGGTGAAGAGCACAAGTCAAGTATTTAATTGAAATTCTTTCCATTTTGTCTGCTGCCCGACTACGGGGCTTGTACTGCCACTGGCCCATAACCTACGTTAATATGGTACCCATTAAACCAAGTGCTGAATCGACTGCGGTTTTAAAAGCTAATTAAAATTTGAAGTTTTCAAAGAGTTTGATATTATAATTTCCGAAAATTAAGAGAAGTTTGTAGGAATTGGATGTGAGGAAAATTGAATGAAATTTAGTGCAGCTGCAGAATGATACTTTCAATGATACCAAGAGCTCATGATCTTATACATATGAAATTTATTTATATATTTCTTGTTATAATTACCATTATATCTTTTTATATCTCTTTAAACATTTACCGGGGTCATAAACCCACAAATCCCGCATTATTCGCCTTAAGCTAGCAATCTCACACAATCTCTGTGGATAATCGGCCTGCCAACTCCACCGCTGAGTCGTAATCACACCAGAATGTCTAAATATTTTTGAGCAACAATTACCTCCGGAGACTTGTGCACATTTGGTGTACAAATCAAATTACCAACTGCAGCAAGACAAACCCCAGCATAACCCTCCAGGCCCTCCTCCCCTTCGACAAAAAATACGTGTGTATATATATTTATATATATAATTTTAAATGACCAGCAGCAGCCACCAGGTGGCGTTGTCGTAAGCTCCTAACGGAACAATAATTGTGTCAAAAAAAAATTAAGAGAAAAAGAAAAAAAGCCAGTTGAAACGTTTGAAGTCGTGGCACATCGACACTTGAATACCCAGTAGTTATTTTTTCTTGGTGTTCAGGTGTTCAGAGAGCATATTCAGAGGAATATGCTTTGTTCATCCTGGCTATAATAATGATCTAGTTACAATCTGTTGACATCTTGCAAAAATATGGAAAAATAACATTTGGAAAAGATCAATGTATTATTTTATACTAAACATACATTATACTAAACAAATTTTTCGCATGATAGATTTTAATTGCTTTAATGGTTTCGGTTAAACACTGATTGTATATAAATTACAGTAATAACCATATCCGATCTCCTGTACAATCCATTTTTGGTTTAACTTCTGTTTATTAGATCCTCTTCGAACACAAAACTCACATTTGTATCGAATTGGAGCTTCTTATCGAAATGCCACCGAAACGTTATCATGTAATTCCCCGTCGGAACGGGCAGACGCAACAGCTCAGGCTTCAGATAGAAATCCTTGACAATTTGTGGACCCTGTTAAAGAAGTACTCGTATTTAAACATTAAAACAAAAAATTATTCTTGTATCTTACTACGAAGGGGCACGTGTGGTTTAGGTTTGTAAACTCTTTAAATAGCCCATAGACCAAATTGGCAAAGGGTGGAGATCGCTTTCGCAAAAACCGACAGGCATCAAAGCGAATGTCGAATAAAAAGGGCTTGTATCCATTTGCCCTTTTGAGCACCTGCATATGAACAGTTACATCGGTAGCAGGATGTAGCACCGTCCCATTCATATTGCAGATAACTTTGTTCCGACTGACAGCCTTTAGACGACAGTTGTGGAACACAAACCAGGAATTATTGTAGCTTTTGCAGACGACATTCGTAAACTTGAAGATGACGGCATCCTGAAATGTTCACACATATTTTGTATAACTTTTCACATAAGGACTCCTCAATAGTTACATTTAAGCCAAAGTTGAATGCTATCCATACTCCGAAGAGCAAACAGATGAATGGATTAACCCGCATAGGATCGTTTCTATATAACCAACTGTTCAGTAATCTGTGCAAAAACGAACTGACATTCAAAATTTGTTTACATGTATAAATATCAGATGAAACTGTTCGCTTAAGTATACATATGTAGATGTGCATACATAAATATGAACAAAGTTCAATATATGATCGAAAATCTGTTTTTGAAGAAATTACCATTCGTTTTTTATCTTTTTGCAATGGGTAGATGAATCAAAAATATATATTATATACATATATATGTATACATGTATGTATATCCATATGTACATATGGGCAAGAGATTATTATAATTACACGACTGTCAAGCGTTTCGATAGTAAGCAATTAATATTATATTAGATCGATGGAAAAATAAACGGCCAGGAATAGATCAAAAAAATATTCAACCTCGTTCTCACTGTTAATGTTTATTTCTGATATACCTTTTCATTTTATTTATTTATGGTGTCAAGAACACTTTTTCTATCTGTTACATACGTTAACACAAACTGACTAAGCCCCTGTTCATGCTCTCTTTGAGTACTGGGTATCAAATTAAAAGGCAAGCCGACAATTTGAAATGTTGCGCGTACTCACGAAATTTTATGACCAATCTAATAAAATACAAATAAATAGAAACAACAGAGAAGGAGATAGAGACAGAGATATTTATATATATATAGAGAGAGAGAGAGAAAGATCGAAAGAGAGAGAGAGAGAGGGCGATAGAGAGGCACTGATAATATAATTGTTGTGCATTCAGTTTTTGGGTAATTGCTTCACATAAGCCAGGTCATTAACGGCGGACGGCGGTCCGCCATATAGAAATCAACGCCTCAAACGTATTCCACCCGAGAAAAAGAAAACAAGAAAAACAATTTTATTTAATTGAATTTTTGGAAAATAAACTACAAACAGCTTAACTGAGCTATAGTTGGAGGTTATCTATGAGAAATGATCAGAGAGGGGTAAGAGCACACGTCAAGTATTTAATTGAAATTCTTTCCATTCTGTCTGCTGCCCGACTACGGGGCTTTTACTGCCACTGGCCCATAACCTACGTTAATATGGAACCCATTGACCCACCAACACCCACCCACTCTGTGCTGAGGCGGAGTCTGAGTTACGGTATGGTATTGTTTTGGTTTCCTTATTTTCCCCTATTTCCCATCCGTTGGCTTTCTGTCTACTCATGCAGAAGCACTTGAAAAGACTCGGCGGAAACTCTTCTTGGGTTTGTTTTGAAAGACTTTTTCTGCTTGGGTTAGGTCATGTCTACTGGGAGGAGTTTTCTTTCGGTCAGTATTATGGTTAAAACAAGCAGAGACCTAGAAATAGTCATAAACTCAATGGCAAGAAACTATTTGTGGATATTTCCTGAGCATGTTTTGACTTTTTGACTTTGTTTTTGCTGGGGATTTATTTGTGGAAAAGGATATAGGATAAGTTGAAAGGAAATATGAACAGAGACAAGGTAAAGTGCAAGACATTATGGTATTCAAGTGGAGAACAATATATTTGAGTGGAGAACAATGATTGGACATACTAGAATCTCCTCACAAGGAGGTAGAATAGCGATAAGTCTAAGTATTTTAGAGATTCTCAGAAGTGCATAGTTACTGCCACAGCACCTCCTTCATTCGAGTGTTTATGATAGAATTTATATGCTAAGGTAAACCTCCTTGTGGCATATTAGATATTCCATTACCATTATTTCATATTTACGATAGTTCTTAACCAAATGCTTACCTGTAAATCAAATAAATATATGTACATATATATATAAATCTGTTGACCGCACTTAACGCCCTTGCAGCCGATGACTGACTCATGCCTCATACCCCAACCATCTGGTCTCCTACGTCTATCTCTCTCTTTGTCTGAACTCTACAATTCGCTCCTTAACATGACACGCAAGTTCCTTAAGCATTTGCTGCACTCATTGCAAATTCACAGCAGCAGGCACTGCCACTGCAACAAAAACTACAACAAAAGCTCCTCCATCGCATTCCTATAAATACCAACTTCACACTGACTGCGGGGACTGCGGGCCTGCAGCTCCAGCAAAAAGCTGGCAAATTTTTTTCTTTTATCTTTGATTGC